AACTTGCCCAGACTGGAAGAAGTAGACAAAAGAGTCCAGGAGGAACATCTCTTAGAAGATATTTAAAATGATAGCATCTCTGAGGTGTAGGAACACGGGAGACTTTCGGTTCTGTTAATGTTTAGAAATAATTTAATAAATGATTGGTTAATCACATAAACTAATACAGTTTAAAATGAGGCAATTATTAACTATTCTCATCTGTTGATTCTGCAAATAATTTCTGTTTTGTTTTTTTAGACAGCGTCTCACTTGGTCGCCCATGGTGAAGTACAGTGGCATGATCATAGCTCACTGCAGCCTCGAACTCCTTGGCATAAGCAATCCTTATACCTCAGCCTCCCAAGTAGCTGGGACTACAAACATGCGCCACCACAAGCAATCCTCCCCCACCTCGGCCTCAGGCAATCCTCCCACCACAGCCTCCCAAAGTGCTGGGATTACAGGTATGAGCCACCACATCCAGCCCAATTCCATAAATCTTTATTTAGCAGCTCTTATGTACCTTTCTAGGCACTGACAGACAGTAATAAACAAAACAAAGTTTCTTGTTACATAAAACAGACAATAAATAACAAAGAACACAATAAAATGTGCTATAAAAAAAAAAAGATGGGTTAACAAAAATTAAACTGTAGAAAAAATAAAGTATGCTGAACCCAAAAATATAACTCTATGGAAAGGATGGAAAGAGGGAAGGAGTAAGTGTCTGTGGTGTGGGAGACGCATATAATAGAGATATATAAGTAGAAGTCAATAGATATCTAAAGGCAGAAACTGAAAAAATGGCATACTATGCTTGTTATTTAGGAATATGAAATCAAATTTCAGAAGAAACAGCACTAAGACTTGAAAGTAGATGCATCAAAGGAGTAGAAACTGATAGTGGAGAGCAATGGGGCATGAAACTGTTGTTTTTCATGAGCCTAACAGTACCATTTTATTCATTAGACTGTGTACATGTATTAATTTGATAAAATCAAGATTTTAGTTAAAAATTACTATTACTCATAAAATATAAAATTAAGTGCATCTGTCATTACACACGCAATACACATACAGCTTTTTTTCTGGGGGGGGGGGGCACTATTTTATAAATAAAGGCCAAACTGTGTCCATTGAAATGGGGGAACACACCTTGCTATTGAGCATTCTGGTGGACAACCCTAAAAAGCTGACTCCTACCACGCTGCTAAACTCCCAACCAAGAGGGAGTAAGTGGGACAAGAGTAGGGCAGGTAAAGGAGATGCCTCGTCTCTGATTTCTGATGGGAAAGGGCCAGGACTTAAAAGGTGGTGGATTTAGGCAAGAAAGGGAAGAGAGGAGAAGTAAGTCTGTAGCTAGGATGCCTTCTTTCCTACTGGAGTTCCATTTCTTTTTTTTTTTTTTAAATACTTCAGCTAAGAATTTGACAATAACAGGCTATTTTAACAAATAGCCATCTTTGGACTATGTTTTACATACAATGTAAACAAAAATAGTGCTACTAAGTTACAATACTGTTATTATGTTTATCCTTTTGGGTGATATATTTAGGAAACTAAATTCCTAAATATTGAGTCTAAGAAATAAATTTAGATGCAGTCCATTTAGTATGATATATTTGACTAATGATGTTTCAAATTAAATTTAAGTTTCAACTGTACCTGAGGATTACTATGATCTCTTTCTCCCTACTATTGCCCAGCAATCAATTATCACAGCTAATGAAGACTTTACTATATTTGAAAATTCAGATGGTTAATGGGTACAAAAATCCAGCTAGATGGAAGTAACAGGATCTAGTGTTTGGTGGCACAACAGAGCAACTATAGTTAACAATAATTTATTACATATTTCAAAATAACTAAAAAAGTGGAATTGGAATGTTCCTAACATAAATAAATGATAAATGCCTGAGTTAATGGATAGCCCAGTTACCCTGATTTGATCATCACACATTGTATGCTTGTATAAAAATGTCACATGTACCCTATAAACATGTACAACTATTATTTACCCATAATTAAAAAGAAAAAAAAATGTTCAAAAAGAAAACAAAAGATTATTGAAAAGCTTTAGTTTCATACTGTAAGTTTTAGATGGAAAAAATTTTACACTAAGAAATTTTGATTACAGAATGATGGAATATATACATTCCATCTAAAACAATTTCATGCAGGAATGTCTACTGTTATGAAACTATGGACCAAAACTATAACTCTGCAATATAAACACAGCTTTCTTTCTCCTGCCGTTTAGTGAGATCCTGCCTAGGTCTACCTGGCAAGAAACAGAAGCTTAAGAACCTTAACCAATGGCAGGTTCAAGCATGATGAACTGCTACATCAGTTCACAACAGGTAAAACAATATTCTACTCCAAAACTCCACATTCTCAAAGTTGTAAGTTAAAAGTATTATTTACCTTAAAGACCTAAAATCTATCAATTCTCTATGTGGAATACATTAACCAAAACTTAGAACTACTTTGAAACAACAGAATTTTTTTCAGAAATTCAGAATCTTCTTTAAAAAAATATTTAAGAAATTTTAAAAACTTTTTTTAAAGACGATTCTGAAGTATAGTCAGAAGTACAGGCAGAAAATGGAAAATGGAAGTACAGGTAGATCCCTCAAGTCATATCATTCCTTCTTATACCACAGACAGAAGGGGTGGAAGTGGCTTTCATTTCACATACACGGAAAAGGAAGACAGGATGGGAAAACGAAAGTCACAGAAATTTTCAACGATTATTGGGCTTTAACGATTACCTGTCATTATTTATTTATAATATTTAACATGTATTATTATGACAGTTATATACAGATGAAGAAGTGATAAGGGACATTATGTTAAAGCATTAGGAGTGTTAATTAGCTAGTGCCTAGTTGGAATATGTAACCAATGTTTAGAATTGTCAGTTGGTGCTTACTGGAATACTAAACGAGTAAAAATTTTCAAGTACCAAAATACAACTAACAGCAAAACAAACTTAAGGAAAAAAACTGCTGTGGGGTCCAATTAGGAAAGCATATAGGTTAGACTCAGAGCTTAATTGTTAGCAAGTAGGTTAAAATTCCTCCGGTCCAATCTTTATGAGACTCTCTTCTTCAACATCCATGACAGAGAATCATCCACTCTGCGTTTTGAATTTCCCAAGGCAGGGAGTCACTAGTTCCCTGAAAGATGTCTATTATTTCATTGCTAGAAAGCTTTAATTATTGGGAGCTCATTCTGACTTCTTACAGTTTTATTTGTAGGTCCTAATCATTACCTTAAAGCAAAAGTAAAGAAATCTTCACTATGTTCCACATAAAAGCCTTTCAAATAGATATGCAGAATAATATTTGAATACATATTTGAATAAAATTTGAATACATTGAAATATATTAAATGTGCACATTCAAGCAACAGTTCAAAAAAAAAAATGAGAAATAAGTCCTTAGAATAACATTCACAGAATGTCATTTAAGTCATACTAGAGGAAGCAAGGAAATTCAGTTAACAATTATTGGTTTAAAATATTATAAGTATCATTAATTAAAGAAACCAACATTTTAAAAGAGTTTTAAATTTTTTCAGTCTTTCAGGTACAATCTTCATGGTTTTTGTCACACTCACAAAAATTATCACTATTTAAGTAATACTTTCACTTAAATTAACTCACTTCCTATAATAAATAAAGTCTTTTTTTGTTTGCTTGTTTTTTTGAGATGCAGTCTCCCTCTGTTGCCCAGGCTGGAGTACAATGGCGCGATCTCAGCTCACTCCAACCTCTGCCTTCCGGGTTCAGGTGATTCTCCTGCCTCAGCCTCCCAGGTAGCTGGGATTACAGGTGCCCACCACCACACCTGGCTAATTTTTGTATTTTTAGTAGAGACGGGGTTTCACTGTGTTAGCAAAGCTGGTTTCGAACTCCTGAACTCAAGTGATCTACCAGAGTCGGCCTCCCAAAGAGCTGGGACCGTGCCCAGCCAATAAAGCATTTTAAAAGAAATCTTTATATTGTGGCTACAAATGGAAAACCATTATCTACTTGCCATAAATAGAAACTAAGATTAAAATATAATTCTAATATGCCAGTGTATTATCATGCCACAAACAAATAGTAGTATGAATTTCACCCTCTGGGGGAAAATGGTTTAAAATGTCTACTATTGACTTACTTTTGGAAACATATGAATGCATTATAAACTTCTTAAAGCATTTCACAGAATTTTGAAGATGAAAGGCTTTTGAACTGAAAAAGGTTAAAATCAGTAGGAGTCAGAAAGATTTTAATTCTGCCACTTAGGAGCTATATGTCCTTACTCTGGCTAAGCCTCAATTTCCACATCTGTAAAAGAGATTTTTAAAAGTACCTTCCTCATAGGGTGTTAGACAAATGAAACGATGCAGTGCTATGTATGTAGTGAGTCACAAATGCATGTTAGCCACTAGTAGCAGTATTACTGCTATTATTATTATTTCTGTAGTTTGAGAAAATGTCAAATATTATCCATCTTCATATAGACCATTTTACGTGGCTTAGAAATCTTAGCCCCAGATCTTAGCCTTAGATCATAGCTCACTTCAGCCTTGAACTCCTGGGCTCAGGTGATCCTCCCACCTCAGCCTCTCGAGTAGCTGGGACTACACATGCACACCACTATACCTGGCTAATTTTTTTATTTTTTTGTAGAGACAAAGTCTCACTATGTTGCCCAAGCTGGTCTTAATACTTAAAGATATTGCATTACATCAATCATATGATACAAACTACATTAATATATTTACTTCCTAGTATATTACTCAATTTCTTGGGCTACTTGGAATATAATATACTTCAATATCCAAAAAAGCATTTCCATTTTTACCTATACAGGAAAGTATAGTTATGTTTTATGAAGTCACTTACCCCAATCTACCACAGACATTAATGGGAGCTATATCAAAAATACATAGTATACATTCATATTTTACATAGCTTTTATAAAATCTTTATGTTAATTTAGAGAATTTTACAGTAGAATACTTACAAATTTAGTTTTGCAAAGCTCTCTTGTGCATTATGCTTTTCTCGCTCATATGCACTTTCAACTTCTTTGAATTCATTCTTGATCATTTCCAAATCAGCAACAGCTTCTGCTTGACTGGCCTTTTCTACTTGCAAAGCTCCTTCAAGGTCTCGAATCCGTAACTACCAGATGACAGACAAGTAATTAAATCAAGCTAAGAAATGTTAGCATCAATCTTAAATTGAGTAGAATACTTTGACAGTAACAGATTATCATTCATCCAAGCACTTCTTTCTGTTTTGGCTTAAAAAAGAAAAATAAACAAACAAAAGACAGTTTATTCCCTTTCTCAATATGTTTAAATAAAAGGAGAAAGAGCAGAAGAATGAAGACAAGAGTTAACTGTGTTATGAAAGATAGGCTGGTACAATATAACCCATTCTATCAAAGAAAAATAGATATGTAGATACAACTCAATCTAAATTTTCAAAGTTTCACATTTTACCTACTAATCCATTCAGATACTTCTTTTATAAAATATAATAAATTAAATGTTTGGGTTTTTTAAGAGACAAGGTCTCACTTTGTCACCCAGGCTGAAGTGCAGTAGTGTGATCATAGCTCACTGTAGCCTTGAATTCCAGGGCTCAAGTGATCCTCCCACCTCAGCTTCTCAAGTAGCTGGGACTACAGATGCACGCCATCATACCCAGTTAATTTCTTTTACTTTTTGTAGAGATGCGGTCTTGCTATGTTGTCCAGGCTGATCTTGAACTGCTAGCTTCAAGTGATCCTCCCACCTTAGCCTCCCAAAGCACTGAGATTACAGGCATAAGCCACTGCTCCTGGCCTGGTTTTTGAAAACTAAAGGGAAGTATTCTTCCTCTCTTATAAGAAACATTATAACATGAGTATCTCTATAAGCCTAAGAAATTTAATAGATCTTTTTATTCTTATATATAGATTATAATGGATTTCTTACTATAGAAAAGTGATGTTCTTATTGTCAAACAATACTATTTGACTAAAATATTTATGGTTATAGTGATTTGATATCTGGGATTCACTTCAAAATAGTCTGGAGGCAGCCGGCGCCTGTAGTCCCAGCTACCCAGAAGGCTGAGGAGGAATATCCCTTGAGCCAGGGAGTCCGAAGCTTGCAGTGGGCCATGATTGCACCACTGCACTCCAGCCTGGTTAACAGTGAGACCTTCCCTCAAAATAAAAAAGAAAAAAAAATTTTAAAGTCTGAAAGTGGAAGAGTTCTAGGAGGTAAGAGATAAAAAACCTTTGACATGAGGTAAGTATTGAAGCTGGGCGATGGGTATGTGGGAAGTTCATTTTACTATTTCACTTTGCATACACTTGAAATTCTACATAAAAAGACATTTTAAAACTATATTCCCAGGCCAAGGTAGGCAAATCACCTGAGGTTGGGAGTTCGAGACTAGACTGACCAACATGGAGAAACTCCATCTCTACTAAAAAATACAAAATTAGTCAGGCGTGGTGGTGCATGCCTGTAATCTCAGCCACTAGGGAGGCTGAGGCCGGAGAATCACTTGAATCTGGGAGGCGGAGGTTGTGGTGAGCCGAGATCGCGCCACTGCACTCCAGCCTGAGCAACAAGAGCAACACTTCGTCTCAAAAAAAAAAAAAAAGAAAGAAAAAACAAACTATATTCCCTGTGTCTACCAACCATAGGATGAATAAATAGGTTCATTCCAACAAAACAATTATATGTAGCTGTAAAAAGGCAACAACTTGTGTGTGTGTGTGTGTGTGTGTGTGTGTGTGTGTGTGTGTGTGTGTTTAAATTTAAGGGCCTACAGGCCAAGCACAGTGGCTCATGCCTATAACCCCAACCCTCTGGGAGGCTGAGGCGAGCGGATCATTTGAACTCAAGAGATTGAGACCAGCCTGGGAAACATGGTAAAACCCCATGCCTACAAAAAATACAAAAATTCGCTGGGGGTGGTGTCACGCGCTTGTAGTGCCGGCTACTTGGGGGACAGAGGCGGGCAGATCACTTGAGCTGGGGAAGTCAAGGCTGTAGTGAGCCAAGATCACACCACTGCACCCCAGCCTGGGTGACAGAGCAAGACCCTGTCTCAAAAATAAATAAATTAAGGTGTAAAAGTGCAGTTTTGTTACATGGATATATTGCATAGTGGTGAAGTCTGGATTTTTAGTGTAACCAACACCCAATAGTTTACACTGTACCCATTAAGTATCCCTTAACTCCATTTCCAGGCTCCCACCCTTTTGAGTGTCCAGTGACCATTAATCTACATTCTATGTCCATATGTACACATTATTTAGCTCCCAATTCTAAGTGAGAACATGTGGTAATTGACTGTGTCTGCGTTGTTTCGCTTAAGATAATGGCCTCCAGTTCCATCCATATTGCTGTAAAATACACGAGTTTATTCTTTTTTCAAAACAACTATTAAAAATTATCTATGTAGTTCTCCACATAGTGTTCAAGAACAATGTATTGCTGATATATGTTGAAAATAGCAGGTTCCACATCAGTGTATATAGTATGCTACATTTGGGGTAAATAAGTGAAAAGAATAAAAATAAGCAGGCCGGAAGGTAGAGGAATGGGAAGGACAAGAATGAAAGCAAGAACTCTCAATCTAATATTGTTTTAATTTTTGAACTCTGTAGATAGTTTACCTTTGCAGAAAATAAAGTTTAAAAGAAAAAGAGTTTTTTAGAAAATAGTTTAAAGAAGGGGTGGGGAGAGAAAAAAAATGCTTCACATTAGTCAGAAAATGGGTTTTAGAACCATAAAACTTGGGTTTGACGCTGTCCAAACATGACAGATATTAGAATAAAACAAACCAACAAAACTCAGGCTGAATCCCAGATCTACAAAATTAACTAATGTGACTTTGGGCATATTACTAAAACTCCAAATACTTGAGGCTTCTCATCTATAAATAGTGAATAATAATAATGTCATCTAGACTATCTACTTGGCGGGGTGGCTACAAGGATCTAATGAGGCAATTTGTTGTTGTTGTTGTTGTTGTTGTTGTTGTTGTTGTTGTTGTTGTTGAGATGGAGTCTCGCCGTGTCCCCCAGGCTGGAGTGCAGTGGTGTGATCTCGGCTGTCTGCAACCTCCACCTCCTAGGTTCAAGCGATTCCCCTGACTCAGCCTCCTGAGTAGCTGAGATTACAGGTGCCTGCCACCACGCCCAGCTAATTTTGATATTTTTTTTTAGTAGAGACGGGGTTTCATCATGTTTGCCAGCCTGGTCTCGAACTCCTGACCTCCAGTGATCTGCCCGCCTCAGCCTCCCAAAGTGCTGGGATTACAGGTGTGAGCCACCGTGCCTGACTGGCAATGTTTATTTAACCAATATTTATTAAGTACTTAATACATGCCAGTCAATATCCTAATGCTCAAGATATATACAATAATCATGAAACTACACAGTCTTAGCTCTTGAGGAGCTCATAGGCTTTAAGAGAACATAGACTGCAAAATGATATGGTATATGCTTCCTGTGACAGAGGTATGCACAAAGGTCCTGAATTCAGAGAACAGTTATGGAACTCTGTGTGAGGCAAGCCTCATAGGAATGGCAACACACAACCTGAGTTAGGAAAGATAAACTCACCAGGAAACAAAGCCTAGATGCCATGAAAATGTTTCAACATTAATCCATAAAAATGATAATAACCAGAATTCTTTTTAATTATCCAAAATTTCTGGAATAATTGAAATACTTATTCTTTTTTCAGGGGGGAGGAGGAGGTGGGGACAGAGTCTCACTCTGTCACCCAGGCTGGAATGCAGTGGCACGATCTCAGCTCACTACAACCTCCACCTCCCAGGCTCAAGCAATTCTCATGCCTCAGCCTCCAGTGTAGCTGGGACTACAGGCATGCACCACTACACTCAGCTAATTTTTGTATTTTTAGCAGAGACGGGGTTTCACCACGTTGGCCAGACTGGTCTGGAATTCCTGGCCTCAAGTGATCCGCTCGCCTCAGCCTCCCAGAGTGCTGGGATTACAGGTGTGAGCCACTGCACCTGGCATGAAATGTTTATTCTTACACTAAAGTAAGGAAGTAAAATAGATAGGTAGATACAACTTGATTTAAATTTTGTAATTGTACCCCTTAAATTCTATTTTTCTTTGATATTATATCTAAATCCAATGTTTGTAAGTCAAATAGTAAATCTGGGAAATATTTTCTTCTTGTCTACATTGCTACCTTATTTTAGAAAATAAGCACCCTCAATCACAAATGGTAAACCAATCAATTGAAAGAAAATCAGACTACAAAATAACAAATTTGAGTCAGCTCTTTTAAGTCTGCTTTCTCATTTTTATGCCAAAGTATACAAACAAACTTAATAATAGATCTCAAATACATATTCAACAGTAGTTTATAAGATGGTGATTAGTTATAGCTACTTAGTACTCTCCATCAAACTACTCTGAAACTGAATGGTATTAGATGTACCTCATTGAAAATACTTGTAAATATTTATAGATTTATGATTCAAATAAACACTTTTCATTTTTTCTAAGTCATAGCACAGAGATATCAAATATTAATTTTAAACCAGATAAGTAAAAAATAGGTAATAATTTTCATATTTATAGTAATTAACTATATATTCCCAGGGATGTATCACAACTACAATGAAAAACCTAACTTTGAAATTATGTTTTTTTCATGAATTTAAAACTTCAGCCTATTAGTAAGAAGTCAAAAAACAGCATGTTAAGATGCTGATGAGGCTGCTGAGAAAAGGAAATGTTTATATATTGTTGGTGGGAATGTAAATTAGTTCAGCCACTGTGGAAAGTGAAATGGAGATTTCTCAAAGAACTTAGAACTACCATTTGACCCAGCAATCCCATTACTGGGTACATATCCAAAAGAAAATAAATCATTCTACCAAAAAAACACATGCACTTTTATGTTCATCACAGCACTATTCACAATAGCAAAGACATGGAATCAACGCAGGTGCTCATCAATCAATGATGGATTGGATAAAGAAAATGTGGTACATATACACCATGGATTACTATGCAGCCATAAAAAAGAACAAAATCATGTCCTGTGCTGCAACATGGATGCAGCTGGAAGCCCTTATCCTAAGCAAATTAACACAGGAACAGAAAACCAAATACCGCATATTCTCACTTATAAGTAGAAGCTAAACACTGGATAATTGTGGACATAAAGATGACAGCAATACACACTGGGGACTACTAGAGGGAAGAGGGCAGGAAGCGGGCAAGAGTTGAAAAATTAACGATTGGGTACTATACTCAACACCTGGCTGACAAAATCAATCATGCACCAAACCTTAGCATTAGGCAATATATCCAGGTAACAAACTACACATATACCCCCAGAATCTAAAATAAAAGCTGAAATCATAAAAGGAAACAAAGAAAAGAAAAGAAAACTTCAGTCTTATTACTTATTGATGCCATTTTGGGGACCTGATCTTAAAGAAAAGTATACAAGTTTGCTTTAGCAGACATGCTCGAATATAGGGATCTGAGAATTTTAGGTAAAAAGAACATTTCATTAAAGTCAAAAGTAAAAACATAAATTTTAATCAAAATCTTTACAAATATAGTTGCATCTTGCATTAGGAGTTATTTAAACAATAAGGTAAAACACTATAAATTGTATTAATTAAAACAAGATAGGAAAAAAGTCTGTCTTTTAAAATGTAAATTAAGTAATTTAGACATACTAAAAGCAGTAGCTTTTAATGTAAATAGACTTTGCTGTAGATATCAATAAGTTTTAGAAAAATAACTCTGGTAACTAACACTGGCAAATAAAGTAAGGGAGTGGTGATAGGAGGTTGGGTGAAGAGATAATAAACACCTAAATCAAGGCAATAACTGTTTTAAGTCTAAATTAGTTTTAATCTGTTTAAAGCTACTTTTCATTTACTGATTTTGGCAATCCCACCATCCTCCTTGATATGAAATTCAAGAGCACAAATAAAGTAAGATGATTTTCAAACTTGCTAAATAAGCTTAAAACTACTTTTTCTTCTGGAAATAAGTGTGTATATTTTATTTTCATACAATCTATTACATTTGTTCACAAAGTAGTGCTCAAACATAATAACTGGCCAGCTAAATAACATGAAATAAGAACATCTTAACAGTTTATACTGAGAATCTAAGTTCATAAAGATACTTTCTACCTTCCTAGATTTAAGCAAACAAAAATACTATTATAGGTATATAATCTTCATTAAAATTAATCTCTTTAACAGAAGCATAACAAATACCATATTTATTAGATTTTAAAGCATATTATCAAAATGCTGAGAAAACATTTAAGCAAAAAGTCATATTGCTTACTAAATATTAAAATCAAAAAGTAGCAGGTCCAACAAATCTCCTCCTACCTAATTTCCTTAACTTTCCTAACACTGGGAAACTGGTTGATCCAAGATAAGCTACCGGCAGGTGCTTGAGAGAATATAAAGAAAGGAACTGTTCACAAAAAAGCAGAATGACAAGAGTAAATGTACATTGTTCAGGTAACTTTGCATGACCATATCCTCAAAGGGCACTATGAACCTCTAAACTGCTTCTCAAAGTCAACATGTTCAAAACTTACCATTGTCTCTCTTCAGACTTCAGAGTTTGACAGTCAACTGCATCTGCCTACTTTCACACATATTGCAGACCTTGGTGTTCTTTTCTATTGCTCTTTCCCTCACACTGCGAATTTGTTACCTAAAATCATGCATTCTCAGTTTGTCCCCTGTATCTTTCCAACCACTGCTATTACCAATTACCAAAAATTGGCAACTTAAAATGGCATAAATGTATTATCCTACAGTTGTGGAGGTCAGAAGTCTGAAATGGGTCTTCTGGTGCTAAAGTCACAGTGTCAGCAAGGCTCCATTCCTTCTAGAGACTCTAGGGAAGAAATCTTGTCTTGCCTTTTCCAACTTCTGGAGGGCACCCACATTCCTGGGCTCATCATGGCCTACTCTGATCTCTGCTTCTGTCATCACATCTCTGTCTCTGACTATGACCCTCCTGCCAGGACTCTTACGATTACATCAGTCTCAACTAGATAAACTGGGACAAACTCCCATCTCAAGATCCTCAAATAAATCACATCTGCAAAGTCCCATCTGCTGTGTAAGGTAACATATTCACAGGTTCTGAGGATAAGGACAGATGTGGACATCTTTGAGGGACTATTATTCTGACACAGGAGCCCTCCTTTCCATTGCTACAGTTGTTGCCTTGATTCAGGTGTTCATCATCTCTTCACCCAGTCTCCTATCTTCACTCCCTTCCTTTATCTACCAGTATGGTACCAGAGTTATTTTCTTAAACTTAGATTTCATATCTATGTGTCCCAAAAGCTGCAGTGGCTTTCCACTGCTTTCAAAATAAGTCTAAGTTTCTTAGCATGAAAAAGGACTTTCATAATTAGTCTTCATCATGCCTTTCCACCATTATCTCCAAACTTTTCCCAAAGCTCTACCACTCAACAATGCAAGTATTTCTCAAAAGGGAACAAGTATATTCTTATTTAGTGGCTTTATCCAAGCAGTTGTTTAGAACAGTGGTCAGTAAACATTTTCTGTAAAGGGCCACAGAGTAAATATTTTAGTTTTTGTGGACCACAGGTCTGTCTCCACAAGCAGCCATAAACAATATGTAAACAAATGGGCGTGGCTATCTTCTAATAAAACTTTACAGAAACAGGCTGCAAGTCAGACTTGGCCCATGAGCAGTAGTGTGCTAACCCCTAATAAAATGTTCTGCTCTCACTTCTCTTAGAAATTCCTTCTCATTCTCTAAGGCATAGCAAAAAGGATAGTTTCCTTAGGAGGCCTCCATATAATTCCCCTCCCAGATTTAATCCTTTTCTTTATTATATTCCCAATGTATTTCAGTATTTTGTACATCTATGTAAGCATCTGTGTATCTGGAGACAGATATTTAGTATCTCTGGTAACGAAATACAAGTTACAAAAGGAGTTCATTCATCTTTACACCTTCAGCTCTTAATACAGTGATATGCATAGGATACGCACTCAATAAATAACACGCATATTTTTTCAATGTTCTCAAAAAGAAATTCATCCCACAGCTGTTGGGAAAAAGGACACTCTAATCCGCAAATTTCTTTGCAGACTGCCAGATAAGTTCTCTATCACAACTACTCCACTCTGCCACTGTAGCACAAAAGCAGCTATGGACAAGACAAAACTTCACAAGAACAGACAGTGGGTGAGACCTAGTCTGTAGGCTGTAGTGTGCCAACTCCTCCACTAAGGTAGTATATCTCAACTGTATGCTAACCTTATATACAATAATCAGTGTCATCATAATATGTTACCCATTCTCAATGCACACCTTAGTTCTCTGAACATAGTGCTGTTTTTCCCAGCTGTTATAACACAAATTAAGAAAATGCAGGCCAAAATATTTGTTTACATTTTACCTGAATAATTTCAGAATTAAATTTTGATTCCAAATGCGCTGCTCTTTCTGCTTCAATGTTTTCTTCTAATTTCCTCACTCTAAGAGTAGTTGCCTGAAAACAAAAGTTTAAATTCATGAACATTGGTATTTAAAGAAGATATGGATCACTACAGTCCAGAATGATAATTAACACTTTAGATTAGTGGACCTGCAGCCTCATTTTTTTTTCTTTGCAAGAACGCAGTGTAAAATTCACACTCAGGAAGAATGCGCCAGAGCTTGCTTTTTTTTCTTTACACTTTATTGAGGTACAACTTATATATAATAACTTACACATAGTGAAAATACACTTTTTGATAAATTTTTATGCACACACACAAACATGTACACACCCATTAAATCACTGCCACAATCAATATAGGAAACATTTCCATCACTCTTAAAAGATACCTTATGTCTCCTGGTAATGCCTTCCTCCAGCCCTCACCACCCCACCACATACCCAAGTAATCACGAATCTACTTTTTGTCACTATAGAGCAGTTTGTATTTTCTGGAGTTGTATATAAACTGAATCATATATTATGCTTTCTATTGCCGGGCTTCTTTCCCCTTACATAATTATTTTGACACCTATCCATGTGGTTGCATGCATCAACAGTTCATTCATTCTCATTGTTAAATATTGTTCCATTTTGTTAACAGACCACAACTGGTTTATCTGTTCACCTACTGATGGGCATTTGAGTTGTTTCCAGTTTAGGCAATTACAAATAAAACTGCTATGAGCATTTGTGAGCAAGACTTTGTAAAGACACACACTTTCATTTCTCTGGGGTAAACAATGAAGAATGGAATGAATGGGTCAAATGATAGGTGCATATTGAATTTTTTTTTTTCTTTTCTTTTTTTTGAGACGAGTCTCGCTCTGTCACCCAGGCTGGAGTGCAGTGGCGCCATCTAGGCTCACTGCAAGCTCTGCCTCCCAGGTTCACACCATTCTCCTGCCTCAGCCTGCTGAGTAGCTGGGACTACAGGCACCCGCCACCACGCCCAGCTAATTTTTTTGTATTTTTAGTAGAGATGGGATTTCACTGTGTTAGCCAGGATGGTCTCAATCTTCTGACTTCATGATCCACCCGCCTCGGCCTCCCAAAGTGCTGGGACTACAGGCGTGAGCCACCGCACCCAGCCATATTGAATATTTTAAGAAACTGCCACACTGTTTTCCAAAGTGACGGTGCCAACTTACATTCCTAACAGCAATATATGAAATTTTCCTTTGTTCCACATCCTCACCAACACTTGGCATGATCATTTTTTGTTTTTGGTTTCTTGAGGTTTTACGGACAATCGAATAGGCATGTAGTAGTTACCTCATTTTAGTTTTAATTTGTATTTCCCCAATGACTAATGACACTGAGCATCTTTTCATGTACCTATTTGCCAACTGTGTATCTTCTTTGATGAAGTATATGTTCAAATATTTTCACCATTTTTTAATTGGGCTGTTTATTTTCATATTACTGAGCTTTAAAAGTTCATTATACAATCTGAAAACGTGTCCTTTGTTAGATATATGATTTTCAAATATTTTCTCCCAGTCTACGTCCTGTCTTTTCATTCTCTTAACAGTATCACTTGCAAAGCAAAAGTTTCCATATGATGAAGCCTAATTTATCGGTTTTTCAGGCAAGAGTCAGTTTCTGGCCAGAGCAGAAGTCAAGATCTTTATTTTTGAATACAATTTCTGTTGAGAAAATGCAACCCTGGGAAGTAGCGGATTACTAGTCCCAAAGAGAGAATTGGTCATGACCAACAATCTGTTGGGGGCAGAAAAATAGAACTATGGGAACACTCAGCATGTCTCAAGATAACGGTAGCAAAGAAAAGTCATGCCTAGAGTCCTGTCTGTCAATGGGGTAGTTCAATGGGGACAGAGAAAGGCATTACTAATTTGCTTTCCCTTCCTAGATGAAATGTGGGAAAAAAATAAATTAGTATTTATTATATTAACTAAACCATTTAGCCTAAGCCAAGTTTTTTTAAATGTTCAACTTGATTAATCTGATTTTCCTTCTCTTCCACCATTTCTTTTCGTTTACAGACAAAGATGGTAATGGATCACAATGAAAAGAAGTATAAATAAAAACTGAATAATCCACAAACTAATCAAGCAGTCTATGAATAACTAAGAAAGGACTATACTTCTTTCTGGGCAAATCATTCCCATAATGATTATCATAATGCAGAGCATAAACACAAACATCCCTTCTTCTCTAGAGGCCTTTGTAGATGCACCTAGTTCTGACAGCCTTCACAGTCATGGAATAATCCTGCTTTGGGATATAATCACTCTGTGTTTTGCAAACATGAAATTCACAAAATATTCTTTTACAATGAACTATTTGCTTTATTTAGATTCTACAACCTATTAAAAATATTTCTTAATGAGCTATTATACTAGAAAATAGTTTTTTTTTTTTACAGAAAGCAATAAATCCAAATATGATCCTTTTGGGTCTCAAGATAATTTAAATCCAAAGGATAAAATAATACTTTGAGTAAAATCTGACATTTATAACTTACGCTACTCGAGTATTTAAAAATAACAGGCATTCTGCTGAAAGGTGAAACTAGTAAATATTCACAGTTTTATCTGAAGACTCAAAACACCCTGAAAACCAGTAAATGAGGACATTTGGATATTTGATGTAACTAAGGAATTATTATTACTTTTTTAGGTGTGATAATGATTAGCATTTTTTTGAACCCCTATCTTTGGGCCAGGCACAGTGGCCCCCATCACTTTGGGAAGCTGAGGACTGCTTGGGGCCAAGAGTTTGAGACCAGCCTGGGCAACAGAGAAAGATTCCATGTCTACAAAAAAATTAACTAAATAAATTTTTTTAATTAATAAATAAAATAAACCCTTATCTTTTAAAAAATACATACTAAAGTGTTCAGGGATGAAACTATATAATGTCTAGATATGGTTTAAAATAATCAACCCAGGAGTTAGGGGTGAGGGTTGGTGTTCATAAAATAAGATTGGTCACAAGCTGATAACTGTTGAAGCTAAATGATAGGCACATGGGGGTTCACTGCAATATTCTTTCTACTTTCATGTATGTGTGAAATTTTCCATATTGAGAAACATTTTTAAACAACAAAAGCAAAATTATTTAGGTTAAGGGGGAAGTATGGCAATGGTATCATTATTTACCCAAATAACAAAATTAGGCCAGGCACAGTGGCTCACACTTGTAATCCCTGCACTTCGGAAGGCCAACTCGGGCAGATCACTTGAGCCCAGGAGCCCAAGGCCAGCCTGGGCAACATGATGAAGCCCCAACTCTACAAACAAAAAAAAATACAAAAATTAGTCAGGCATGGTGGTGCGTACCTGTAGTCCCACCTACTTGGGAGGCTGAGGTGGGAGGATCTCTTGAGCCCAGGAAGTCAAGGCTGCAGTGACCTGTCATCGTGCCACTGCACTCCAACCCAGGCAACAGGAATGAGACCCTGTCTAAAAAATTATAATATTTTGACAATGACAACAAAAAAAACATTAGAATGAATTATTTCATGACTAAACAGAAAAAGTAAATGGGAAGGGGGAGTTTAACTCAATCTATTCCAATCTATATTGCTGACGTGATAAGGCAAATAAAATATTCCCCGCATAGTCACTTTTTTCCCACCCTTCTCAAAAAATGTTTCCACAGAATACCAGTCCCACAGGATGTTGTTAGCTATTATATAAAAAAGCAATTTCATCATCAGAAGCATGTGAGAAACACAAGATTAAAACCAAACAAATTTCCTTACTAAAGACTTCTCAAAACGTTAACATGACAATCTTGAAAAAGAAGAATAAAGATGGAAGACATATGTCATAAATGCAAATCTCACTACAAAGCTACGGTGATCAGTCGAGCATAGTGGCTCATGCCTGTAATCCCAGCACTTTGGGAGGCTAAGGCCAGCAGACAGCTTGAGCCCAGGAGTTCAAGACCAGCCTGGGCAACATGGTGAAACCCTGTCTCTATCAAAACAAAAAGAAAAAACAAAAATTAGCCAAGTGTGGTGTTGGCCACCTACAATCCTAGCTACAAGGGAGGCTTAAGGTGAGAGAATGGCTTGAGCCTGGGAAGCAAAGGTTGCAGTAAGCAAAGACTGAGCCACTGTACTTCAACCTGGATGACAGAGCCAGACTCTGTCTCAAAAAAAAAAAAAAAAAGCTACAATAATCAAAACAATGTGGTACCAGCAAAAGGATAGACATATAGATTCATATAAATCCACTGAAAGGAAATGACAGTCCAGAAATAAACTCATGATTGGGTGGTCAATTTATTTTTGACAATGGTGCCATGACCACTCAATGGAAAAGATTCTTTTCATTAAATAATGTTGAGACAATTAGATATACATAGGCAAAAGAATAAATTTGGATCCCATACTTCATATCATATACAAAAATAAATTCTAAATGGATCAATGACCTAAATATATGAGCTAAAAACCATAAAACTCTTAGAAGAAAACATAGGGGTAAATCTTCATAGTCTAGGCAACATAGTGAAACCCTGTCTCTACAAAAAAATAAACAAAATTAGCCAGGTGTGGTGAGGGGCACTTATGGTCCCAGCTACTTGGGAGGCTAAAGCAGAAAGGAAGGCTTGGGTCCAGGAGGTTGAGACTTCAGTGAGCTGAGATCATGCCACTGCACTCCAGCCTGGGCAACAAAGCAAGACCCTGTCTCAAAAAAAACCCAAAAACCTTCATGACCTTAGATTTGGCAATGGATTCTTAGATAGTAAAGCACAAGCACGCATAAATAAATAAATAAATAAATAAATAAATAAATAACATTAAAAACTTATCACAACACTATTCACAATAGCAAAGATACGGAATCAACTTACGTGTCCATCAACAAATGAATTAAGAAAGTGGGTTATATATACACACAATGGAATACTAGTTGGCCATAAAAAAAGAATGAAATCCTGTCATGTGCAGCAATATGAATGGAACTAGAGGTCATTATGTTAAGTAAAATAAGCCAGGTATAGAAAGACAAATACCACATGTTCTCACTCATATG